GGGCAGTTGGAGTCTGGAGGTCAGCAGAGAGGTTAGGATAAGTAGATCTGAGAATCATCAGCGCAGACGTCATCGAGTCCACCAGATCTAATGAGATCAGCAAGTGAATAGTGGGAGAACAGAGCCTAGCATAGAGACCTACAGTTAGTGGCTGTGACCTGCTTAAAGTTCCCGCAAAGGATACTGGGAGGTCCACCAGGAGAGAGCAGTGTCCCAAAGACATAGAAGAGAGTACCAAGAGCAGCTAGATGGTACAGTGGTTAGGCGGCCCAGTCTGGAGTCAGGAAGATCTAAGTTCAAATGTGGCCTCAAGACCCTAGCTGTGTGACCCTGGGCAAGTCATTTAACTTTTGTTTGCCCCAGTTTGCCTCATCTGTAAAATGGGGCTATCACTAGCACCTATGTCCCAGGGTTATTGTGAGGAGAGATAGTGATGGTAAAGCACTTAGCACACAGAAATGTTAGCTACTGATATTAAGGAGAAGAGAGTGATTGATAGTGTCAAAAGCTATGGAGAGGTCAAGAAGGATCAGAATGAAAAGCAAGCTGTTAATTTGGCAATGAAGAGATCGTTGATAACTTGGGTGAGGCCAATTTCAGGGAGACAAGTACAGTGACTGGCCAGAGTGACCAGGACTTTCTCCCCAGGTACCAGTTTTAGAGGTTGCTGACAGTATTGGAGCATTTCAGCTGTGTGGAAATAAGGTAGCGATTGCAAATGGTAGCTCACATTCACGTAGTGCTACAAGGTTTATAAAGCATTTCACATGTTATGTTGTGTTTGTTATCTTATACCCTCATGATAACTATTATCCCCATGTTGCAGATGAGGAAATGAAGGCCAAGAGTGACTTGCCCAGGGTGACACTGCTAGGAAGTGAGCTGGATTTGGAGTCAGTGGGACTTTAGTTCAGACCTCATCTCTGTCACTTACTGCCTGTGTGACCCTGGGTAAGTCACTTCCCACTTTGGGCCTCAGTTTCCCCATCTGCAAAATGAGAGGGTTAGACAACATGGAGTCTAAAGCTCCAGTAATATTAACTACCATCATATAGTGCTTTCAGGTTTCCGAAGCTCTTTATATATGATTTCATTTGATTCTTAAAAAAAAAAAAAATCCTCTGGGAGTTATACCCATTTTATAGATTAAGAAACTGAGGCTGCAAGGGGTTAAGTGACTTTCCCAGAGTCACACAGCTAGGATGTGTTTGAAGCAGGATTCAACCTCACATCTTCCTGCCTCCAAATCCAGGATTCTATCCATTACACCACCTGGCTTACTCTAGCAAGAATAATTAGTTAAAATAGATTGCAAAGGGCCTTGAATGCCAGGCTGAGAAGTTTGTATTTTTTTCTCTAACATGGTATTTTGGAAAGAATGCGAATTTGGAGCCAAAACACCCAGGTTTGAACCTCAGCTTGACGACTTACTTCAACAAAGAAAAATTCAGCAAACTTAGGTACCTCCTAAGTGCTAGACCCTGGAGATACCAAGTCAAAAAAAGAGCTAGTTAGTAGCTTTGTGTTTCCTTTCTCTGGGCTCAGGTTAAGAAGATGAAGTACTTTCTAAGGTTTCTTCCATTTATGTAATCCTCTAAGGCTTGCAAAGCTCTCTGTCCTTCACCTTGTTGGAACCCCTCAATGGCTGGGTAAGAAGCTGAGGTTTAGAGGGCTTTGAATCCATGGCCCATCAGACCCAGCTGGGGAGTGTCACAGAGGCAGGACTTGAACCCAGGTCTTCCAGACAACATCTGCCGTCTCATCTATGACACTGTTCTGTGGATCTTCATTGATTACTAGGCCAAGGGGAGCCAGTGGAAGTCAGTCAGTCAGTGATCATGTATGAAGCACCTACTGTGTGCCAAGTACTGCTGAGTGCTAGAGCTACAAAGAAAGAGGCCAGGTCCTCAACGGACTCACAGTCTAATGGGGGAGATGGTAGACCAACCAGTTTTTTGATAAGATATGAGTGTATTTGATAAGAATAAGAATAGTGATGTGGGACGCTGAAAGCTACTACTGTAACAATGGTATGGGGGGGGTGTGGGAGAACGAAAGAGATGGTTGGGGCTTGGGATTGGCTGGTGGGGTGTGTGGTCATAGCTTGGGAACCTGGCTGGGGCCTAGCTTGGGGTTGGCTGCCCTACAGCTACAAAGGACAATGACTTCAAAAATAACATATTCATGTTTGGGGGGTGGGAGGGCTGAGCAGCAGGCCAGTCAGAGTTTAAGCTGCAGGAATCCTGTAAGAACTGATATGAGAAAGAGTTAGAATATTTGTGTCCCCGCTCAGCAAGAGATCTTAGCTTTCCTGTCCTTGGTGGTGCTGAAGGGTGAGAGGTAGACCAGGAGAACTCACTCATTCACTTGCAAACATTTATTACTAATAGTGGTAGTCAATATATATATTATTATTGCTAATACATATATTATTATTACTACATAATAGATAATATGTGTATTAGTAATATGTATGCTGACTATAATTACTTCTAATAGTATATATACAGACGTGTGTGTATGTATGTATGTGTGTGTGTGTGTGTGTGTGTGTGTGTGTGTGTGTGTGTGTGTGTGTATCCAGAGTTCAAATCTGGCCTCAGACACTTACAAGTTGTGTGACCCTAGGCAAGTCATTTAACTCTACCTCAGTTTCCTCATCTGTAAAATGAATTGGAGAAGGAAATAATAAACCACTCCAATATCTTTGCCAAAAAAATCCCAAATGCGGTCACAAAGGGTTGGACATGACTGAAACTGAACAATAATTATATGTGTGTATATACAGATATATACATAATACACACTATATATATGCATGTGTATGCATATATAATATAAAAATACATGCATGTATATATAAATATATGTCTAGTAAAGCACTGGGCATCCGTTCTCATTGGTCCTCACAAACCATCCTGTAAGTTAGTTGTAATAAACAAACACATGTCCCTATTTTACCAGTAAAGACATTCAGCTCACAAGCACAAAGTGAGTTGCCCATGGTCACACAGTGGGGAAGTGTTAGTGACAGGATTTAAACTCTAGTTTCCTCTGAGTCCTTTTCTTTCTAGTAAAACCTGCAGCCTCACTAGGAATATGAATAGGGGATGGTGACTGGCCCCTTGATTTCTTCTATAGAGGGCAGAGGTGTCAAACTCACAGGCCTGCAGCTAATTGAAATGTAATTAGGAAGTATTTAACAAAAATAAATAGAAACTCAGTGCAACAAAGATAATGTTAATTTGTGGTTTTCTAAGTCTGTACACAGATCTGTTTCTATTTGTGTTCTACCCCACTGGTTTAAGGAACTTCGAGGTGAGGAAACAGTCCTCTAACTTTCTACCTCACCAATGCCCACTATTCCAGGCACTGTCATTCCAGGCTAAGTAAGCACTGGGTTTGATTAAAAACAAAAACAAAACACAGAAAAAAGATGACATAACAATCCCTGACTGCCTGAGAGCCTTGTTATCTGAGTGGGAGTGATCCACCAATGGGTCTCATGCAGAATAGGGCAAGGAAAGATCCAGATTACAATGGGAAAATTAGAGGAGGAATGAATATTTCATTGAAGAGTTAGGAAGGAGTCAGGAAAGGCTTTCTGTAGGAGACAACCACTGGGCCTCAGCCTTGAAGAGGCAGATTCTAAAAGGCAGAGACGAGGAAGAGTGTCCATCAAAGGGATGGCGGACAACAATGTTTCGGGAACAAATAACAATGCAGTTTATTTGGAGCATAGAGTAGTGCAGTGACTTACCCAGGGTCATATAGCTAGGAAGTATCTGAGACAGGATTCAAACCAGGTCTTACTGCCTCCATGGCCTGTACTGTATCCACTACACTAAGCATTTGGTAAGCACTTACTGTATGCAAGGGCTGGGGATAAAGAAAGTAGTCAGACAATCCCTGCCCTCAGGGAGTGCACAGTCTAGGAGGGGGGTGGGCAGGGCAGAACAACACACAGGAAAGCCACAAGTTTCAGCCACAAGTCATCTGGAAAGGTGCCAAGGCCTCTGGTGACTGCGAACTTTCTTTTCTGGGTCTTCGAAACGTGGTTGTGGCCCATACAGGAGCAGTTTCTGAGCCGCCTCCCCACAGGGTGACTTCCCAGGATGATGGCTGCAGGGACCAGGCTCGAAGCCTGGCTGTTCCCAAGGCTCTTGGGCTCCAGGTCCGGGACCATTTTCATCAGGGTCCAAGAGGCCTTGGTGGCCAAGATGATGGTGGGAGTTGGTTTGACTGGATAAAATTAATAGATTAATAATTGATAGATAAAAGGAGATCCACACAGGGCAAGGACTCAGTTGAAGTTGTATTTCTTAGATCTGTATCAGGTCTTAGCTGATCCTCTCTTAATTCTCTTTTTCTCCTGTTTATACTATATGCATAGTTGTGTGCATGTTGTCTCACTTATTAGACCGCAAGCTCCTTGAGGGTAGGGATGGTTTTTTGCCCTTTTTTGTATCCTCAGTACGTGGCACAGTGCCTGACGGGTTAACTAGCAGTGGTAGAACTTGAGAAGTCAGAGGTTAAAGACTGGCAGGATGTAATGAGATCAAGAAGTATGGTTAAGGGAAGAGAGTGTTGGATTGGGATTCAGAAGACCTGGGTTCAAATCTTGCCCTAGGACCTTAGGCAAGTCATTTCCCTCCTTTAAACTCCTCCATTTTCTTGTCTGTAAAATGAGGGGGTTGGTCTAGATGGCCTTCAGGACACCTTCTGTCTCTAGACCAATGATCCTATGAGCTACCTGTGACCTATGATACCTGTAATCCTGTGAATTTACCTGTGGGTAAATCACTTTCCCTTTCTGAGCCTGAGTTTCTTCATCTGTAAAATGGGGGCATTGAATTCAACTCCGAGGTCCCTTCCAGCTCTAAGCCTGTGTTTCCATGGATAGGATTGGGGCAGAGGAAAAAAAATGAGGCTGTAGCTTCTTCCACCCCCACCCCTTCCCACCTGCCAGCCATGACCATTTGACCTCCCTGCTTTTTCAGGGCCTACTCGAAAGACAGTGAAAGCAGCTGGTTTCGTTCCCTCTTTGTGCACAAAGTGGATCCGCGGAAGGATGCTCATTCCACCCTCCTGTCAAAGAAGGAGACCAGCAACCTGTACAAGATTCAATGTGAGTGTCTTCCCCTTCCCTCCCCTTGTTCCTCATCTTTTTCCTTCCCTTTATTTTCCCTCCCTATTGGTGTCTAATAGGTTCTTTTTCCAGGGAACAGGCAGAATCTTTGGGCTTGACTCAGACATAGGAGTAAATAAGATGTTATTTTTATAGGCTGACATATTGTCTACTGTGTTGCTAAGAAGCAGCTCAGTATATTGACTCCTGGCCTTGCAGTCAGGAAGAGATGGGGTTCAAATCCTGCCTGAGCTATACTGAATGTGTGCCCCTGGTCAAGTCACTTCTAGGCAGCTTTCTAGGACTATGAGTTGTCAGTTGGTGTCAGTGGAGTGCTTCCATGCTGGGAGTTCCCTGGACTGATAGAATCAATGTGTCTTGACCACCCCTCTCCTGACAAATAACAGTGGTGTGTGCGTCTTCCCCTAAAGCCTTCCTCTGCTGAACTTGGCTTGATAGTAACCCTGGGCTTTGGAAGGCTACGTCAGCAGTAGGTAAGCTCTGCTAAGTCTTACCAATCATTTAATTAGAAAGCATTTATTAAGCACCTATTATGTGTCAGGCACTAGTCCAGCCAGGAAAGGCTTTGGGATAGGCTCAGTGTCTACTGTGTGCCAGGTACTGTGCTAAGTAGTGTGGATATAGAAAGAGGAAAAAGACAATCCCTGCCCTCAGTAGCTCACAGTAATGGAGGAGACAACATGCAAACCAGCTGTAACAGGATAAATAGGAGATACTCAACAGAAGGAAGGCACTGAATTTTAGAGGAGTTGGGAAAGGCTTCCTGTAGAAGGTAGAGATTTTGAAGGAAGCCAGGGGAGCCAGTAGAGGGTGGAGATGAAGGAGATCATGCCAGGTATGGGGGACAGCCACGTAAGATTCCCAGAGCTGAGAGATGGAGGGTCTTGTAGAATGGCCAGGAGGCCAGTGTCCAAGGATGTAAGAATATGTGTCAGGGAGGAAGGTGTAAAAAGACTGGAAAGGGAGGAGGGGGCCAGGTTATGAAGGGCTTTAAAAGCCAAACAGAACATTTTGTATTTGCTCCTGGAGGTGATAGGGAGCCACTGAACTTTCCTGGTAGGGCTCGGTAGTAGGGTGATTCTTGAATGAATGGATTTTAAAAAAGCACATTTTTTTAAAATATAAATTTATTTATTTTTAGTTTTCAATATTCACTTCCACAAGTTTTTGAGTTCCAAATTTCTCACCCCTCCCCCCACCCCAAGATGGCATGCATTGTGAATACCCTTTCCCCTGGTCTGCCTTCTCTTCTATCTCTCCCCCCTCCCTTCTCTTATCCCCTTTCCCTTCTATTTTCCTGTAGAGCAGGATAGACTTCTGTACCCCATTTCCTGTATTTCTTATTTCCCAGTTGCATGTGAAAACATTTTTTTAAAACATGTGTTTTTAAAACTTTGAGTTCCAAATTTTCTCCCTTCCTCCCTCCCCACCCACCCTCATTGAAAAGGCAAGCGACTCAATATAGGTTGTACATGTGCAGTTATGCAAAACACTTCCTTAGTAGACATGTTGTGAAAAACTAACTCTATTTCCCTTAATCCTATCCTGCCCTCCCATTTATTCTATTCTTTCTTTTGACCCTGTCCCTCCTCAGAAGTATTTGCTTCTGATTACCCTCTTTCCCAATCTGCCCTCCTCTCTTGTCCCCTTCTCCCCCTATTTTCCTGTAGGGTAAGACAGATTTCCATACCCAATTGAATGTGTGTGTTATTCTGTCCTTAAGCCAAATCCTATGAGAATAAGATTCCCTCATTCCCTCTCACCTTCCCTTCTTTCCCCTCCACTGTGAGAGACTTTTCTTTTCTGTTTTTTTTTTGGAGATAATTTACCCCATTCTACCTCTCCCTTTCTTCTCTGAGTATCATCCTCTCTCATCCCTTAATTTTATTCTCCAGATATGACCCCTTAATCTTCAACTCACCCTGTGCCCTCTATCTATATATACATACATACAATTTTTTTCCTTCAACTACCCTAATACTGACAAAGTTCTCATGAGTTACAAATATCATCTTTCCATGCAGGAATGTAAACAGTTCAATCTTAATAAGTCTCTTATGATTTCTCTTTCCTGTTTACCTCTTCATGTTCCACTGGAGTCCTGTATTTGAAAGTCAAATTTTCTGTTTAGCTCTGGTCTTTTCATCAGGAATGCTTGAAAGTCCTCTATTTCACTGAATGACCATTTTTTCCCCTGAAGGATTATACTCAGTTTTGCTGGGTAGGTGATTCTTGGTTGTAATCCTATCTCCTTTGCCCTCTGGAATATTATATTCCATGCCCTGCGGTCCTTTAATGTAGAAGCTGCTAAATCTTGTGTTATCCTGATTGTGTTTCCACAGTACTTGAATTGTTTCCTTCTGGCAGCTTGTAATATTTTCTCCTTGACCTGGGAACTCTGGAATTTGGCTACAATATTCCTAGGAGTTTTCCTTTGGGGATCTCTTTCAGGAGGAGATCTGTGGATTCTTTCAATTTCTATTTTGCCCTCTGGTTCTAAAATATCAGGGCAGTTTTCCTTGATAATTTCTTGAAAGATGATGTCTAGGCTCTTTTTTTGATCATGGCTTTCAGATAGTCCAGTAATTTTTAAATTCTCTCTCCTGGAGCTATTTTCCAGGTCAGTTGTTTTTCCAGGTCAGTTGTTTTTCCAATGAGATATTTCACATTGTTTTCTAATTTTTCATTCTTTTGGATTTGTTTTACAGGGTCTTGATTTCTCATAAAGTCACTAACTTCCAATTGCTCTATTCTAATTTTTAAGGAAGTATTTTCTTCAGTAATCTTTTGGACTTCCTTTTCCATTTGGCCAATTTTTCTTTTTAGGGCATTTTTCTCCTCATTGGCTTTTTGGACCTCTTTTGCCATTTGGGTTAGGCTGTTTTTTAAGGTGTTATTTTCTTCAGTATTTTTTTGGGTCTCCTTTAGCAAGCTGTTGACTTGTTTTTCATGATTTTCTTGCATCACTCTCATTTCTCTTCCCAGTTTTTCCTCTACTTCCCTTACTTTCTTCTCAAAATCCCTTTTGAGCTCTTCCAAGGCCTGGGACTGATTCATAGTTTTCTTGGAGGCTTTGGATGTAGGAGCTTTGACTTTGTTGTCTTCTTCTGGTAGTATATTTTGATCTTCTTTGTCACCAAAGTAAGATAATATAGTCTGACTCTTTTTGCTCTGCTTGCTCATGATCCCAGCCAATTACTTGAGTTTTAAACTCTTGTTAAGGTAAGAGTCTGCTTCCAATGTGGAGAGTGTACTGTCCCAAGCTTCAGGGGATTGTGTAGCTGTTTTCAGAGATACTTGTAGGGACCTGTAAATTTTCAGTTCTTCCAAGGTGGTATGATAAGGGGCAAGGTGTTTACTCCTTTCCTGGCCTGTGACCACAACTATTCCTTTCTGTCCCGTAACTGTGAGGAGGGGTTCCTCTCCACAGCCACTACAAGCTCCACCACCCCAGCGCTCCTCCTCACCCCAGCACTGCCACCCAGAACTGTGACCCAGATCCACACACGGGCAAAGCAAGAGATTCCTGCCTTAGCACTGGCAAAGAGATCCCTGCAGTCCCTCTCTGATCAGCCACTGGATTCCCCCTCAGTCTGTGGGCTGGAAGCTCAGGAAGCAGCTGCCCCCCCCCCAGGCCAGGCTCTTGGGGAATGGAGCTGAGACTCCGCCTTCCTCTCTGACCACCGACAGAAACAGACTTTTCCCACTGACCTTCTAAGTTGTCTTTGGCATTCATGGATTGAGGAGTCTGGAAACCTCCACAGCTTCCCGTGATTCAGTCCTCTGAGGCCTGCTCCAGGTTTGCTGCGGCCTGCGCGCCCACGCTGCACTGTGCTGCGCTCCCAGCCCGGCGTGATACACCTTTCTGATCAATCATCCAGGTTGTCTTGGGCTGGAAATTTGTTTCACTCTGTCTTTTTGTGGGTTCTGCTGCTTCAGAATTTGTTTAGAGCCATTTTTTATGAGTATTTGGAGGGGTTTGGGGGAGAGCTCAAGCAAGTCACTGCTTTCACTCTGCCATCTTGGCTTCGCCCCCCAAAAAAGCACATTTCTTAAGTATTTACTATATACTAGCTAGTAGAGACACAAATATAAAAAGAAAGACAGTCCCTGTCCTCAAGGTGCTTACATTCTAAACAGGAGAGACAACACACCAGAGCTGGTTCCATGGTAGGTAGAAAGGCCTGGAAGTCCAGAGATGCCTAAGTTGGCCCAATAGCTGAGCTAGGGGGATGGGAGGGTATTGAGGCAGAGCAAAGGGTGAAAAATGGTGGTCCTCCATCTCATCCAAAGACATGGAGATGTTGACTCCCATCTCCTTTGAGACCAATGAGCAACTAGCCATGTAGCCCAGGTGAAGAGGGATGGCAGTGGCAGAGGGGACCTCCTGTAAGCCAGGCCAGGCATGCAAAGACCAAAGTGAGACAGTCATGGAATTAAGATTTAGAGCTGGAAAGGACCAGAGAGGTCACTGAACCCCCTCATCCCCTGTCACATTACCGAGGAGAAGCATGAGAAGTGATTTCCCCGAGGTCACCCAGATGGTGAATGTCTAAGATGGTTTTTGACCCCAGGTGGTCTTAATTCCCAAGTCTAGGACCTTATCTGCTCAGTATGCTGCAGAACCGTCCCTGCCCTCAGAGAGCTTGTATTCCTTCCACTGACATGATCATTCCTGGTCTTTACTGCCCATCACTGGTTATAGATCAAAACCTCCTTATTCTCATCACTGCTTGTCTCTCCATTGCCCTTTGGGACACCCTGCAGTTCTGAGACTCCAGAACTCACTGTCCTCCATGGTCGCCACTGCTGAGCACCACCGGAAGAATGGCGGTGTTAGGAAGAAGGACTTTCTTATTAGGGATGATAGTGGGCCCACTGGGAGCTGGGAGGGCAGGGGATGCTGGATTGTTTTTTGTCTTTGTACCCTCTTCCTAAGGCCTGTGCCTATGCAATTCAGTCAACATTTTTAAGTACCTGCTGTGTGCCAGGCACTATACTTAGGTTCCAAGAATACAAATAAGAAAAAGATAGTCCCTGTCCTCAAGGAGCTTATAATGTAATGGAAGAAGACAACTCACCAAAGGAAGCAGAAAAGAGGGGGGAGGGGCCACCATGGGGGAGGGGGGGATGTTCTGTGGAGTTGGAAGCAAGCAGAGCTGTTGACGGAAAATGGAGAGTTACCTATTGACTACATGCCCCGCATGTAGCAGGTGCTTAATAAATGCTCACAGATCGCCTAATTGTGGAATAACCCAGAAGGAGGCCAGGTAGTCCTAGAGTCATCAAATGTGAGCGCTGGAAGGGCCCAAAGGGGGCACTTGTCCAGGAATGCTGGGGGGCCTAGCTCACTCCTTCTTTCTAGTATAAAGGCAAGAATAATCACTCCCGTTAAGGAGGTCACGATGTAATGGGAGCAACTAGATCTGTCAATGGATAGAGCACCGGGCGTGGAGTCAGAAAGACCCTAGTTCAAATCCAGCCTCAGACACTTATTAGCTGTGTGACCCTGGGTAAGTCATGTCAGCTGTGCCTCAGTTTCCTCATCTGTAAAATGGAATGCAATGCAACAATCACAGTTACTTCCCAGGGTGTTGTAAGGACACTAAGTCATGGGGGTGGTGAGTGCAGCCTTAGTCACTGGGTCCATTTTTACTGAAGCAATTTCTTGTTCTCTTTCCTCCATGCCTTTTCTAATGATAATAATAATAATAATAATAATAATAATAATAATAATAGCATGTTTGCATAGGGCCTTAAGCTTTGCTAAGCCCTTACATGTTATCTCATTTCATCCTGTATAACAAAAATAATTTTAATAATCCTAGCCAGCATTTATTTGTGTGGTCCTCTGAGGCATGTAAAATTTTACATGTTGTCTCAATTGATTTGATTTTTTAATATTTATTTGAATGTTTTGGTGGATGGTTATTTGGTTGACATCTTTTAGATGTAAGTCAGAAATTCCTGGTTTGGATGAAGGCTTAGCAAGCCTTGCTTTAGGCAAATCCCTTTGTGTCTGTGGGTCTCTGTCTGCATAGATCAATAGACAGATGGCCTCGCTGGGTCCTGGGAACTCTACCAATATGAAATAATAACGATGATGATAGCCACTATGTGCTAAACTGTTTACAGATTGATCTCACTTGATCCTCACAACAACTGTGGTAGGTGCTGTTATTATACCTTTTCTTTTTACTATTGAGGAAGCTGACACATGTGACGTTGATAGAGTGCCCTAAAGTTTGCAAAGTATTTGCCATCCATCATCTCCTTTGATCCTCATGGGAAGTAGGCACTGCTAATCTTTTGATCCCCATTTTACAAATGAGGAAACTAAGGCCCAGAGAGATAAAGTGATTTGCTCAGGTTCGCTAGCCAAGAAGTGTCAGGGATGGGATTTGCACCTGGCTCTACTTGACTGATTCTAAGTCCAGTGCATTCTTGCCTCTAAATTTCAGGCTATTTCTTCTCTCCCCCTTTCTCCAGTCACCCGCTCTGGAGCTCTGTCCCTGTTCACCAAAGCCCCAGTGTAACTGGTTCTTCTCTCATTGGCTTATTACAGTTCACAACGTGAAGCCGGAGTGCCTGGATGCCTACAATAGCCTGACGTGAGTCTTCTCCCCTACTTTTGTCCTCTTGGCCCTGATGTGGCAAAGGTGCCCTGCCCGTTGTCATGGCCGCCACGTCCACGTTCCAGAGCTGAGCCTTAGCCCCAACCTCTTCTTGCTGCCACATTGTCTCAATCCAGCCAACCAAAGTTTATAAAGTCCCTCCTGTGTGCCAGGCACTGGGCAGGGAGTTGGGCGTACAAAGACAAAAGTGTCCGAGCAGTCCCTGCCCTCAAGGGGTTACCTTCTATGGAGATGAAACAGGTATCTCCCTAAATGAAAACAAAATGGATACAAAGTAATTTCGATTGTATCCAGTGGGAAAGGATCATCTTCATGTAGCTGGCACTTGAACTGAGCCTTGAAGGTTCTAGAGAGCTTTCCAGCTATGGGGCACAGCCTGTGGACAGGTATGGTGGCTGGAGATGGGATATTGTATATAAGGACAGGAAGGAGGCCTGGGAAGGGGGGAAGAACATATTATTAGCCTAGTTAGGAGAGGAGTAGGGGAAGAGAGGAGGGGGTAAGCAAAGGAGGAGAAAGAAAGAGGGAGAGGGAAGAAGAGAGAGAAAGGGAGAGGGAGGGAGGTTGGAGCAGGGGAAGAGAGGGAAGGTGAAAGAGAAAGGGAAGAGAGGAGGGGGTAAGGGAGGAAGGAGAAAGAGAGAGGGAGAAGGAAGAAAAGAGAAAAGGAGAGGCAGAGAGATAGAAAAGTAGGAGGTAGAGAGGAACAGGGCAAGAGAAGGAAGGCGAAAGAGAAGAGGAAGAGAGGAGAAGGAAAGGGAGGGAAAGGAAAGACGAGGGGGAGAGAGAGAGACAGACAGAAAAGGAGAAGGGGGAGAGAGGAGAGGAGAGAAAGAAAATAAGAGGAAGGGAGGAAAAGGGGGAGAGAGAGAATTCTAAATACTGAAAGAGTGCAAGTCTTCCCCCTCTCCAAAAAAATCTACATTTCACTGACTAGAAAACCAAAGCTCAGAGAGGTGATAACCTGTAATCTAAGTCACCCAAGGTAGTAGAAATGGTAACGCCAGGTCTTCCATCATCTGGGATCAGGGCTGTTTCCTGCAGGCTTCCCAGGGCTGGCTATCTAAGAAAGTGGGAGGGGGGCTCCCAGCCTCATCCTGCTCTGACCAGGCTGTGTACTAAGTGCCTGGGGAGGGAAAGCAAGGCCCTCGCTCATCCTCATCTTACTTCTTTTTGCTTTTTTTCAGGGAAGCGGTGCTTCCTCAGCTCCACCTAGACCCGGACTATCCTTGTGCATTGGTGGGAAACTGGAACACTTGGTATGGTGAGCAGGACCAGGCAGGTGAGACCCCAGCCTCTGCCTGGAGGATCAAAGCTAGTGCCTAGCTTCTTTAGCTTTCCCCCTTTCCTCACCCTGCAACCGACTCTAGCCTTCCCCCCAGTGAACTCCCTTCTCTGCCCCTGCCAGAGGGAATCCATACATCACTCTTCACTGTGACCCTTCTCAAAGGCAGTGCAGCCTTGACATCTGGACTGTGGTTGCACTTTTAGGACCCCTGGTCCTTTCCCTGTGCCCTGTGGCCAGATTCTCTTACATGTATTATCTTCCTCCATGAGGCGAGGGACTTTTCTTCTTTTTGTATTTGTATCCCTAACACTTAACACAACCTTTGGCATGTAGTAAGCCTTTAACCAATGCTTTTCATTCATTCATCCATCCATCATCCTCATTTTAGAAACCTGAGTCCCAGAAGGAAGGGAAGGATAGAGTTCTAAAGCTCTCTGCAGTCATTTTTCAGTCATGGCCAACTCTTCATGACTCCCATTTTTGGGTTTTCTAGGCAATGACATGGAGTGGTTTGGCATTTCTTTCTCCAGCTCATTTGACAGATGAGGAAACTGATGCAAACAAGGTGAAGTGACTTTCCCAGGGTCACACAGCTTGTGTCTGAAGCCAGATTTGAACTCAGGAGGAGTAGTCTTCTTGACTAAAGGCCTGGTGCTCTATGCACTGTGGTGCCACCTAGCCGCCCATTTTAATGCTAGAAGAAACCTCAGTGGTCATTGGGCCCAGACCTGTAATTTTACATAAGGAAAAACTGAGGCCCCCAAGGGTGAAGTTAGTTGCCCCCTTACTAGACTCAGAAATCATAGAGTTGGGATTTGGGGTGGTTGTAGGGCCTGTCAGGGAGTCATTTTAGAATCCCAAGCCACCTCCAGATATGGTAGAGAGAGGCCAAAGAAGGGGTGGAGATCCCAAATTGGCCACCCTTGGACCATGGGACTGTTTCTTCCCTCCCTTCTAAAATGTGGGAGACATAGGACGTTGATAAGTTAGACTCTCCACCAGATGGCAGCCAGGACGGGGAATTGATCCCATGCCATGAGAGAATGTGTTGAAGGAACTCGGAGCACATAGCATAGAGAAGAGACTCAGGGGAGACATGATCACTGGCTTCTGTTATTTTAAGGGCTATTATGGGAAAAGGAATCAGCTGTGTTGTGCTTGGCCCTCAAGGGAGGAACCAGTAGCAGGGGGAGGAGGGTGCAAAGGAGCCAGTTCTGGTTTGATGGCAGGAAGGCTCTCCTAACAATGAAAGCCCTCTTCAGTGACATGGGAAGTGGAGGGCATCCCATTACTGGAAGGAAACAAAGGGAAATTTGCCTTGCATGTATTCTGAGTGCAAGAGGCAGACTTACTAGAGAACTTCCTTGGGGTGGGAAGATGGGTTCTAGTCTCTCTTCTGACACCTCCTGACTTTGACCAGGCAGGCAACTTCATTTCTCAGTGTTCTAGACCAGAGGTATCAAACTCAGAGATAGGGACCATTAAAGCACACATAAGGATTCTTGCTGGGTACATATCGACTCAGAAAACTGTGCAGCAATATTTTATCTATGTTCTGTTGTATTTTTTGGGACAGCTGGGTGGTGCAACCGATAGAGCAGTAGGTCTGGAGTCAGAAGGACCCGAGTTCAAATCCAGACTCAGACACTTACTAGCTGCATGACCCTGTGCATGTCACTTCACCCAGTTTGTCTCCGTTTCCTCATTTGTAGAATGAGCTGAAAAAGGAAATGGCCAGCCACTCCAGCATCTCTGCCAAGAAAACCCCAAAGGGGGTCACAAAAAGTTGGACACAGCTGAAAGACTGAACAAACTGTATTTTTATTTATTTTGTTAAATATTTCCCAGTTTCATTTTGACCTGGTTCCTGTGTTCGACACCTCTTCTACAGACAACCTTCTATGACCAAAAGTTAAGGAGAAGGTGCCCATCTCAATGGCAGAGAGAGTTTCTTCATCTGGGAGTTCCCTATACTGATGAAATCAGGAGTCTGGTCTCTACCTCTGTTTAATTATACATATGTTGTTAAGTCCCTCAATAGAGTCTAAGCTTCCTTGAAGGTAGGGATTGTTTCATTTTTGTCCTTATGACTTAAATTTAAAAACAAACCAACAAAAATCTTTCCAAAGTGGGCAATGGGCTGGCACATTTTTGTCGTTCAGTCATTTCAGTTGTGTCCAACTCTTTATGACCCCATTTGGGGTTTTCTTGACAAAGATACCTGGATAGATTGTCATTTCCTTCTCCAGCTCATTTTATAGATGAGGAACCAAGGCAAACACGGTGAAGTGACTTGCCCAGGGTCATACAGCTAGTAAGTATCTGAAGCCAGATTTGAACTCAGCAAGATGAGTCTTTCTGACTCCAGGTCCACTGCATCAGCTAACTGCCCATGCCACCTAGCTGCATAGATCTTGCTGGCACATAATAGATCATTAATAAATGCTTGCTGATTCATTGATGTTTTAGAGGTAATTCTTGTTCGTGTCTGGGTTGGACCACATGACCTCAGAGGTTACTTCCAAAGCTAAGACTGTGTGTTTCCTTTCTCCCCAGGGGTTTCATAGAATCGGTTGATAGGGACCTAAAAGAGCTTCTCATACCTGAATCATGAGCCCCCACCTACAGCGTCTCTGAAAAATGGTTATCCAGTCCTTGCTCTGCCCTACATTTTTTCAAGTTTAATTTTAGGTACTGAAATGAAGGGCTTTGCAATGATCCCTAGTCAGTCTTATCTTGTGGGAGTGGCTCTGTGTTCCAGAGAGCTGAGATAATTTTGAACCTTGATTCTGTCACTTATTGAAGAAGCGGTTCTGCCAGCTTTGTGTCATCTGGAGATTTAGTAAGGGTCTCTTTTGTGTCTTTATTCACAGAATTTCAAAGTTTGAAGGGACCTCAGAAGGCATCTAACCTAATCCATGCCCCACAAACAATCCTTTCTATAATATCCCCAACGAGGTCATTCAGCCTTTCCTTGAAAGCCTCCAGTGAGGAGAGGGAACCCATTTCCCCAAGCTGCTGGCTCATTTTGGATAGCTCCAATTGTTGGGAAGCTGAAAATGCCTGTCTATAACTTTTACCCAATGAATGAATGAATAAATGAAAAGACATTTATTAAGTACTTATTATGTGCTGAGCACTGTGCTAAGGGCTTGGAAATCAATCAACCAAATAGTAAGTATTAAGTATTAGTTACTTATTGTGTGCCAAGCATATATTAAAAATAATTCTACATGAGAGTTTAGGAGGAAGGGATACAAGAATAAAAGTAAAGATAGTCCCTGCCCTCAAGGAACTTGCATTCTAAGGGGGGACATAGCACATATAAGGGAGTGATGGCCAAATAGTAGGGATGTTTTAATTTGGAAAATTGCCAGGGTGCTGAGTGGAGAAGATTAACCTGGCCCTTTCAAAACAGTGATAGAAATGATTATATTTTCTTCCAGAACTGTAGGGTAAGGGGATTCAGGGGATATACCTGTAGTGTTGTGGTGTCTAGTAAGATTATCTGAGAAAGAAGTGAGGTGTGGTTGGAGCCAGACCCCAAATATAGTGGGCAACTGAGGCAGCCATCAATCAGCTATCATTCTCCAACACGGAGATCCAGCAACGAAAGAGTTAAGTTCTTCAACACTTGGATTCTGGATTGCTCTGTATGTCAGCAGGCAAGATGGCTGGGGACTCAATCGTTTTTATAGTCCTGTCCCCTGGGGTTGAGCAGTACAAATATAATCCCCCTTTCCCATGTTTTGAGTGGCATTTGAAGGACAGACTTTGTTGTGGTCATCATCATGGAGACTGATTCCCCAGGCAAAGGAAAGAGAACTCATGAGGGTCATGGTTCAGGGAAGCTTGAGTCCCTGGGGTTGAAGATCCGGGAGGGAAGGTCTTTTGAGCCAAGAGAGCAGTCTTTGTTTGACACTGTATTTTATTTCCATCTCCTCACAGTACATTTGTGGCGATTCTCAGGAGGCTACCCTGCCCTCATGGACTGCATGAACAAACTCAAGGTGAACAAGGTAATCAGCCAGTCAGCCAATAAGCATTTATTAAGCACCATGTGCCAAGCATTGTGCTAAGTGCTGTGTTTAAAAAAGAATTTTTAAAAGTAGCAATCATTATCATAGCTTATGAGTTTTAAAACAAATAAATAATTACCTTGGAAAAGAAGTATGTAGAGCTGGCATTGGAACCAGCAAGGGCCTGGGTTTGAGTCTTGCTTCTGAGAACAGATGGCAGAACAGTTGGCAATCTGCATTAGTGGAAGAAAATTCTTCTTCTGGGAGTTCCCTCAACTGATGAAATCACAGGTTCTGACCAAAAAAAAAATGATACATTTAATAATTACCTAAGAAGCACATGTCATAGTAGACCGAGAGCTGGTTTCAGAGCCTCTGCCACATACTGGTTTTGTGACTGTGGGCAAGTTACTTCTCTTTTCCTTCTGTGTTTATAGAAAGTTTTGTTACCACTGCTGTTTTTACATTTTCATGTTTTTGTTCCAGTCTTCTCCTTTCCTTTTTTTTCTTTATGCTTGTCTTCATTTCATACTGGTAATTTGGTTTTCTTTCTTTTTTAAAAATCAAGTTAACTGTGGCTTATCTGCTTTATTATTATTACTAAATAACAGCTCCTAGTTTTATTAATTCAGTGAGATTTTTGCTTTCAATTTTATTAATCTCTTGTTTTCAGGATTTCTATTTTGGTGTTTAATTAGGGGTTGTTTTGGGTTTTTTGTTTTTGCTGGTTTTTTAGCTTTTTTGGTTGCGTGCCCAAGTTGTTGATCTACTCTTTCTCTTTTTTTACTGTTGAAAATGTTTAGAAATATAAACTTTCCCCATAGGACTTCTTTGACTGTGTCCCCAATATTTTGGTGTGTTGTCTTATTGTTATGCTTATGTTTAAGGAAATCATTGATTGTTTCTGTTATTTGTTCTTTGACCTGTCTGTTCTTTAGGATTGAATTATTTAGTCTCTGGTTAATTTTTAATTGTTTCTTCACCTGCCCTTCACTGAAAATAATTTTTATTGCATCGTGGTTTTTCCCTTTGTGGAATAAAATTTTAATTACATTATAGTAAAAGATGCATTTAATATTTCTGCTTTTCTGATTTGTTTATGTGGATTTTATCCCCTAATATAAGATGGACTTTTATGAAGAAGAAATAAGTATACTCTTTTCTATTTCCATTCAGTAATCTACAAAGGTCTATCTTATTTAACTTTTCCAAAATTCTATTCAGCTCAACTACTTTTTTGTTTATTTTTTTAGATTTAGATTAGGTTAGGGCAGAAAGGAGTAAATTGAGTTCTCTTACAATTATAGTTCTATTGTATATTTATCCCTGTAATTCATTTAACTTTTCCTTTAAGTATTTAGGTGTTATGCCATTCGGTACATATATATTCGGTATTGATATTAATTAATTTTCTATGGTACCTTTCAGGAAAATGTAGCTTCCTTGTTTATCTCTTTCAATTAAATCTATTGCTGTTGTTTTTTCTAAAATTGTAATTGCAGCCCCCTTTTCTGATTTCAGCAGAAACATAATAGATGTTGCTCTAGCCCCTTATTTTAAGTTTCAGCATATCCTTCTGTTTCAAGTATGTTTCTTCTAACAAGTATAGTTAGATTCTGCTTTCTAATCCATTTTGCTTCTCTTCTTCACTTCATGGGTAAGTTCATCCCATTCACAGTTATGGTTAATTGTGTATATCCTTTTATCCCATTCTCTTTTGCCTTTCCTTCTTTTTGTTTCCCATCCCCTCTTTAGAGTTTGTTTTGTTTAAGACTAAAACTTCTCTTAATCTACCCCTCCCTCAACCCTAACTCTAACCCTAACTTTTCCCCTTTCTTTCCTGTTAACCTGTTGAGTGAAAGTACCAAACTGAGTGTGTATTTCACCCTCTTTTGACTAGTTCGTATGAGAGTGAGTTTTAAATGGTACTCACTCATGCCTATTCCTTCTTTCTTATTTGTATGTATAGACTTTCACTTCTGTACTCCAATTAAGTGAGATAATTTCCCCCTTCCAACCTCCATGTATTTTTCCTCTTCTATTCTTCTTTTAAGGTCATCAAAACATAACGATCACTCCAGGGCTTCTGTCTGATTAGAATCCTTTTATGACCCCTGATGATGGCAGACTTCTGAGGGGATACATATTAGATGTGAACAGTTTATCTTTGTTTAGTTTCTTATGATTGCCCACTGATGTTTAGTTTTTTGTGTTTCTCTTGACTACTGTGTTTATATTTCAAAGTTTTTACTCATCTTTGTTATTTTCATCAGGTAGGCTTAGAAATCCTCCATTTCATTAAAGGTTCATTCCTTCTCCCCTTCCCCATAGGATTATATTCAGTTTTGCTGAATAAATTATCTTGGGTGGTAAGCCTATATCCTGTGCCGTTTGGAATATCATGTTGCAAACTCTTTGCTCCTTCACGGTGGTGGCTGCTTAGTCTTGTGATACTGACTGTTGCTCCTCAGTACTTCAATTTTTTCTAGATACTGGTAGTATTTTTTTCTTTCACTCAAAAGCTCTGGATTTTGGCTTTGATATTTCTGGGAGTTTTAATTTGGGAGTTTCTTTTAGGAGGTAATTGGATTCTTTTTATTTCTACTTTACCTTCTGGCTCTAAGAGATCAGGGAAACTGTTTTGTGATTTTTTTTAAGGCAATTGGGGCAAAGTGACTTGCCCAGGGTCACACAGCTAGTAAGTGTCAAGTGTTTGGTCTGAGGCCAGATTTCAACTCAGGTCCTCCTGACTTCAGGGCCGGTGCTTTATGCACTGTGCCGCCTCGCTGCCCCAGTTTTGTGATTTCTTGAAATATGATGTCTAATCTCTTTGTTTGGTTATGGCTTTCAAGTAGTCCAATGATTCTTAAATTATGTCTCTCCTCAATCTGTTTTCCAGGTCCGTTGTTTTTTTCTATGAGATACCTATATTACATTTTCTTTGGTTTTTTTTTTCTGTAGTATTTTTCTTCTACTATTTTTATTGTCATTTTAGTCAGTAAGCATTTATTAAGCATATATTATGTGCCTACAGTCCCAGGCACTATTTTAGGCGCAGGGTCGTTAGCTTCTGATTGGTCAGTTCTAATTTTCAGAGTTTTCCTTTTGTTTGGTTTTGTTCCTCTTGTGCTAATCTGTTACTTCTCTTTCAAAGATTTCTTCAATAGCTCTCCTTTGGGTTTTTTTGTTTTGTTTTGTGTCTGGTTCTTTTTGTGGCAACTGCAGTTAAGTGACTTGCCCAGAGTCACACAGCTCAGTAAGTGTTAGAGGCTGGATGTGGGTTCACGTCCTCCTGACTCCAGGACCAGTGCTCTCTCCACTGCACCACCTAGCTGCCCCTCGTTTGGTCTTAAAAATCATTTTTAATTCTTTTAAAAGCTTTTGTTTCGTCTTTTCTAGGAATTCTCCTTAAATTTGTGTCCAAGCTGTGTAATTCCTTGAGATTTTGCTCATCGATATTTTGGGTCATTCTCTTCTTTGGAGTTGTGTCTTGAGCATGCTTGTCACGATAAGAGCTTTTTGTGGTAGGGTTCTTTTTTTGTTTACTCATTCTTCCAGCCTCTTTCCTGACTTCAGAGTTGATAATGAGGCTGAACTTCATTCACTTGTGGGGAGAATATTGGGTACTTCTGCTCCTTTCCTGGGGTATTGAGTGTTGTGTTATTCTAGGCTCTTGAGGAGAGTTCAGGCTGAAGACCCAAAGCTGTTCCCAGATCCTGGGCAAAGTCTGATCAGTGCCTTCCTGCTCTGAGCTCTGCAGGTTCCTGACCTGGGTTTGGGTCTGCACAATACTTGTCTTGCTTCTGGCTGGAAGTTCCAGCGGACTGTTGCTAGACTCAGTCACTATCAGCACTCCATGGAAGGTCTTCATGGTGAAAGTGACTGAAATGCAGACTCTTCTTTGCTTTCACTCCGCGCCCCCCCCCCCATGCAGACTCTTCTTTGGTCTGGAATTCCTATCTTCATTTTTGCACTGCAGCTTTCAGACTGGGCTAGAGGATGGAGCTGAGGCCATTCTCCATTCCTGAGGTCAGAGGAACCCAGCTACTGTTTGTCTCTAAACCCATTCCTAGCTCAGTACATAGTTTAGGGCTTGCAACTGCTTGTCTCTCTGGAATTCTTCCCTCAGCTCTCCAGGCGCAGGTTCCCTCCTCAGTTCCTCCTTGATCTCTGATCCAGAACTGGGTCATGATCGACAGAGCTTCCAGATGGCATCTATGCTGCATCTTGCACAAGTCATCCCTTGTATGGGTCTGGGACTTTTCCTTTCTGTGGTGTATAATCTCAGTCCTCTCTTAGTCCGTGTGTGCCAGAATACTCTTGGCAGGCTCCTGGCCGGATGCTATCCTCAATGTCCTTTCTGTCTGTCTTCCTATGTTGATCTAGGCTGGGAAAAGGACTCACTGTGATTTAGAAAAAATTACTCAATCTAGTGCATTTTCTAGATTTTCATGGAGAAGAGTGGGAGGCATGGGGGGAGGGGAGTGAGGCCATACTTCTTGATACTCCGCCATCTTGGCTCTACCTTTGCCTCACTTCCAGTGAATGAGTCTTGCAGTATTTCTTAGTATTCCTTATCTTTGTTGCACAATAAGAATCCATTACATTGACAAAAGACATTTTCAGCCATTACCTATCCAATGGTAGGTTGTTTCTAGCCTTTTTTTCCCTTACAGATAAGGTAACTCCCATATAGATAAGGCTTTTCTTCCTTTTATTATTATTAATAACTGACATTTATATAGCGCTTTGATATCTGTGAAGCACTTTATTTCCATTCTCTCACATGCTTCCTAACAACCCTGTGAGCTGAATGCTACTTCTCCAGACCTGCAGTTGAGGGTTATTGACTTGCCCAGAGTCACACGGCTACTGCGTGTCTCAATCAGGATTCGTACTTATGTCTTCCTGACTCTAAAGTCGAGGTTACTAAAGCTACTGAGTCTCTTAAACTTATTAGTCTTAGGCCCTTAGGACTTGAAGACCAATATTAATATCTACCTACCTATAAGCAGTACATAGTCTGTAAGGTAGACGCTTTATCTGTCTCTGTTTTACAGCTGAGGAAACTGAGGCTGAGAGAGATCTAAGTTATAATCATAGCTATCATTTTTATAGCTCTTTAAGGTTTGCAAAGTTGTGTGTGTGTGTGTGTGTAACTGTAAATTTGATCCTCACAACAATCCTGGGAGGTAGGTGCTAATTAGTAGCCCCATTTTGTAGGATAATAGGAAACTAAGGTAGATAGAGGTCAAACGACTTGCCCAGGGTCATACAGTTAAGCTCCTCAGTGGCTGGGGCAGGATTCAAACTCTAGTCTTCCTGACTCCAAATCCAGCACTCTATCCCTCAGCTGCCTTCCACCCTTCCTTCCGTATGCTGGCTGAGTCCTGAGTTATGTGCCTTTCTCCTTTCTGACATTTCAATTAGCAACTCAGGCAGATGTACTGTGCCCCATCATTCATTCATTTATTCAATAATTGTTTATGTATAAGGCGCTATGGTACTGGGCTCAGTACTTCTACTAGACACTTAGTGTTCTAGGCTAAATTCAACCTTCTCCTGGTCTCCCTTTTATGTCATGGCTAGGCTAGGCTCTTTCCCCTTTGCCCCATGCCTCTGAGCTATCCCACTGTGTGCCCCAACAGGAGTACCTGGAGTTCCGGAAAGAGAGGAGTAAGATGTTGCTGTCCAGGAGAAACCAGCTGCTTTTGGAATTCAGTTTCTGGAATGAGCCTGAGCCTCGTGAGGGCCCCAATATTTACGAACTAAGGACTTACAAGCTGAAGGTGATTCTGGGCTTCCTCCCTGCCCCGCTCTCTCTTTTTCCCTCTCAGAGCCAGATTCAAGAGGCCATGGATATTGAAGGTCCCCACAGCTCTGCACCTGGCCACCACTGTGCTGTCAGCCCAGCCCAGCCCCATTCCTATCCCACGTTCAGCTAATCCAGTGTGCCAGATACTTGGCAAACACTTGCCATGTTCAGGGCATTAGGAAAAGGATTATGGTACAGAGAAAACACAGCCCTTCTCCTGAAGAGCTCATAGTCTACCGTGTCATAAGACACAGACAACTGGTAATGACATGATGATACCATAACTCGAATTGGGGGAAAAACCCATTTATGAAATACTTATTATCCAATACAAATCCAAAGTGAAACAGTCTCTGCCATTAGGGATCTTATATCATTTTTTAAAAAATTGGATCCTTTTAAAAATGGACTTTTGTTATTTTATTATTTTTTGAAAGTTTTTGTATTGGTATCTTTTTTTGTTACCCGATGTTCATTTCCAAGTGTATCCTACCCTCATCTTCTACCCTTTGTGCCATTCTCTGTAACAAAGGATAAAAAAAGAGAGGGGGGAAGGAAGAACAGCAATTCAACAAATGTAATCAACTTGTAAAATAATCCTGTTGTCCTCCATTTCTGAAAAGAGGTAAGGAGTAAATCCCTTTTGTCAAGTCCTTGAAGTTTTACAAAGTCTTGTGAAGTAGATGGCACCGGTATTGCTCTCCCCCATTTTACAGATAGAGGACACTGAGGCTCATTAATGTGAAATGATTTTTTGCCTCTGTACTTTGCATTGTAGGATAGCTAGCTCATTAGCAAAGTATTATATGAGATCAGAGGAGCAAAAATCATCTCTGATAGGAGAAATCAGGGAAGGCTTTCTGGAAGAAGTGACCATGAAAAAATGGGTAGAATTCATTAGATGAAGAAGAAGAGTCATGGTTCCACTTAATGCTGAGGGAAGGTTCAGGATTAAAGTGAACTGAGGTCTCTGGGATGGAGAGATTAGTGTCCCTTTTTTTGGTGTTTCTTATTAGCCTGGGAGCTGAAGTTAATATTAGAAGCCAATGTCTGTACTTACTAATCCCTTATGTTTCCTTTCAGCCAGGGACCATGATTGAGTGGGGAAACAATTGGTGAGTAGGCACGCTGGGCCTGAAAAGAGCGTGGGGGTGGGGGGCAGACCATTCTTGTCTCATCAAGACCTTTTGTTATTTTTTTAAGCAAATAATGTATTGCTATGTTGGTTTTACATCCCTTCATTTCCCAGTCTTTTCCTTCAACATATCCCCCTGCCAAAGAGCCATCCTTTATGATGAAGGAAAAAATTGAGCAAAACTAAACCAAAACATTTGCCAAATCTGACATCATGTGTAGCGTTTCACACCCCTTCTCCATCGCCTCTACGATGATGGGAGGGAGGTACACTCTCATCTCTCTTCTTCAGGGCCAAACATAATCATTTTAGTTGCCCAGAATTCAGTTTCACTTCTTCTTTTTTCCCATTTCCTTGTAGTCATTTTTTATGTTGTTTTCCTGGTTCTACTTATTTCTCTGTGCGTTGGTTCATAGAAGTTATCCTGTACTTCTCTGAATCCTTCATAGTCATCGTTTCTTATAGCACAATCCTATTCCATCACATTCATGTACCGTAGTTAGTTTAGCCATTCATTCCCTAGTTGATGGGCATCAGCTTTGTCTCCTATTCTTTGGTACCTCAAAAAAAGAAAAAAAAGTCCATCACTGATTATTTTGGCATCTATGGAACCTTTCTTTTGGTCATTGACTTCCATGAGGTATATGATCTCTGTGTCAAAGAATAGGAACATTCGGATAACTTTTCTTAGCATATTCCAATTTGTTTTCCAGAATTGGACCAATTCCCAGCTGTACCAACAGTGTGTAAATATTCCTGTCTTTCCATGACCCCTCCGACGTTGTCTCTTCCCATCTTTGCCAATTTGTGGGCTGTGATCACTAAGACTTCTCTTATAATCCCTTCCGAATCCCTTGGCACCCTGTCACCTTTTTATGTCTCCCCTAGCAGATCAGGGCTCAGATGGAAGAGGTGACAGGTTTAACTTGTCAGTCTCCAAGGCAGCAGTAGCATTCTCCCTATCTCCACATTTCTCCTCTTCCCCTCACCAAGCCTTGAGAACAAGGTTAATATTCACTGGCATTCACATAGGGTTATAAGGTTTGCCGAGCATGTGATCTCCATAATAGCAATAATAATGATGACAGCATTTATGAATTATTATTTGTATATTTATAGAATATTAAGTTTTACAAGGAGTTGGGCAAATAATATCTCTTTTTATCCTCACATGTATTGCAGATATTATCTGGGAGGTAGATGCTATTATGATATCTGTTTTACAGATGAGGAAACTGAGGCAGACAGAAGTTAAATGACTTGCCCAAGGTCAGACAGCTAGTAAGTGTCTGGAGTCAGGTCTTCCTGACTGTTGGCCCAGCATTCTATCCACTGCACCAAATAGTTGCCTCTTATCTCTTTTGAGGCCCATCATCACCTTGTGAAGTGAGCCAATTAATTGACCTCAACTCCATTTTCTCTTGGAGAAACCTGAAAGTGACTTGTCTACAGTGACACAGGTGGGAAAAGTTGACCTTCATATTGGAACCCATATCTGTTATTTCTGAGACTGGTGTCCTTGACCCAGCACCATGAGCTCACACTGTATTGTACCCAGGCTCCAGGCCATGTCAGCTGCTGAGCTACGGCCTCTTCCTAACTTGTGTTCTCTCCTCCAGGGCCCGAGCAATCAAGTACCGCCAGGAAAACCAGGAAGCCGTGGGTGGCTTCTTCTCCCAGATTGGAGAGCTCTATGTGGTCCACCATCTCTGGGGTAGGTTGGTGTTTCTCTCACTTCTTGTCTCTATTGCTAGCTGTGGGCCAGAAGCAACTAGGGAAGAGCAATCTATTACCCACTCCCTATTTTCTGAAGTGTGGCTCGCTCGACTAAGACAAAAGAGGAAGAGAAATCTTGGGAACTTAAAAAAGAGAAATAGAGTTTCCTTCCTGTGGCCCAGTAGATGGTAGACTAGGGCCTGAAATGTCCTCTAATGTATGTGGATGTAAGCCATACTGGATACTGTAAGTAAATAAGTGAAAAAATATCAGTCCACATCTAGGCAACACATTTTAGAACAGGGGTTCTAGATCTTTTTTTGTATCACGGACCCTCTCACCCCCTTTGACCATCCAGTGAAGCCTACGGACCCCTCCTCAGAATGTTTGTAAGTGGTTGAAAGAAATAACTAAATTTTGGTTCGAGATGAGTCAAAACAGAGATTATTGTTTTCCAGTCAATTTCACAGACCCCCCTGAAATTCATCCACAGACTCCTTTATGTTCTAGAGCAAGGGACATGTGAGTCCCACCTTGTTCTTCCCTCCTCAGACCGTATCTGGAGTCCTATGTCACATTTTAGGAAGAACGTGAGGGAGGAGGGCTAAGAGGGTGAGAATACAGACCATATGAGAATTGATGAAAAGAACTGCAGGTGTGGATTATTGAATATACTGTCAGACTTCGATGTGTGTGTGTGTACCTGCATTTATTTCTTCCTTTTTTTCTCCCTTGTTCATAGTGACGGGTGGCTGGGTAGGGATAGATTCTGAAATGAAGGTGATGGAAAACCAGAGTGATCTGTATAAATTTAGAATTAAAAAGACAGAGAAAGAACAGGGCATGTTTACCCTAGAAAAGATCAGGCTTAGCGGGGATTTGATGTCTGTCTTCTTTCTTTGTCCCTGAACTTAACCAACCCCTATAAAATGAGCCTTTGTATTTACATATAAAAAGTAGAACAGAAAAAGGAGGATTATACATGAAGCTGTCTTCAAGTATTTGCAATGGGCTGTCATGTGGAAGAGGGATTAGCCTTGTTCTGCTTGGCCCTAGAGGGCTGAACCAGGAGCAACGTAAGATACAGAGATTTAGCTGGATGTCAGAAAACCCCAATCCCTGTGACAGCTGCCCCAAGGTAGGATGAGCGGCTTCCAGAGGTGGCAGGCTGGCAACTCCTTTTTGAAGATTTTTAAGCAGAGGCTGGAAAATGGAGCATTTGTCAGAGATGTTGTTGAAGATTTTTATTCAGTTGGGACTGGATTCCTTTTGAGATCCCTTCCAACTCAGAAATTCCATGACCAGACTTACCTTCCTCCATTAAGAATGTTATAATCGAACAAACCCCTCAAACCCACAATAGCAACTCCCATTTCTATGATTACATCATCATAAATATTCCCTTTTGGTCTTGTGACAATTCAGGAATTCAACATATTTTAATTTCAGTTTCACAGACGTCGAAACTGAGAGGTTATGGGACTCTTCCTAAAGCCAGTGGCAGACCCTGGATTTTGACCCTTGTTCCGTGGATTCCAACATCCACACACTTCCCATGATGCCATCATCCTTGTTAGATGCCTTACACATAGACTTAGATTTGGTGATCTAATATCAATAGGGATAAAGGCGGCCATTAGCCCATCACAGACACCGGTGGGCACACTAGGTCGGCCCTTGGTATGTTCAGGCCGGTATTTCGTCCCACTCCAGCGGTGACTGCAGGACTTCTTTTCGTTTGGATTTATTGATATTCCATGCTTGGTAAAGACAAAAGCTGACTCCTCTGGGTAGGAATCACTGAATCTAAGAAATGGAAGGAACCTCAAGCGCCCTGCCTCATCCCCCAATCCATACACCAAAGGACGTCGAACCATAACATACCCAACCTCTGCTTGGTGACCTCCAAGGAAGCAGTGCGTACTGCCTCTCTAGTCAGCCCCTTCCATTTTGGGAGAGCTTTCACTGGGCAGAGGGTGGAGGAGGGAGTGACTCCTGACATCAGGCCTAAAGAAGGGTTCCCCTTCTGGCTACGGAACCTGAACAAGGCTGATCCCTCTTCCATGCGATAGCCTCAGCTATCATTCCTTATCTCTGCCCTCCCCTGCCCCCCAAGTCTTCTTTCCTTCAACTAAGGAGTGTTTTCTCTCATTCACCAAAATCCCCAGGACCAGCCAGACATGTCCTGGAAGCTTGGGCCTTGTGCCTTCCATGGGGTGAAGAGACATTAATATTTTTTTGCACCTAATTATATTTTATTTTTTCCCGATTACATATAAAGGTAGTTTTCAACATTCAGTTTTGTAAGATTTTGAGTTCCCAATTTTTCTCCCTCCCTCCCCCCTCCCCAAGACAGCAAGCAATCTAATATAGGTTATGACAGTAAACAATTATTAAGCACTGTGTGTCAGATGCTGAGCCTGTGGGTCTTAGCTCCTCAGTAAAGTGGACCTAAAGCAGATGTCTTTCTGGGAATCGTACAGATGTTCCTAAGCTTAAGAAGAGACATAAGTACCACCTGGCCCTGAAATCCCAATTTAACAAACACATCATGTTTCTTCCTCTAGCCTATAAAGACCTGCAATCCAGGGAGGAAACTCGGAATGCCGCCTGGAGGAAGAGGGGCTGGGACGAGAATGTCTATTACACAGGTAAGGTGCTTGGCAGACCATCCTACTTTTCTCAGCATCCGACCTCATCACCACCACCCTCAAAAACAGGACTGCTATTAATAGATCAATAAGCATTTAGGAAATGCCTATTAGTTCCCAGGTACTGTGCTAGGTACTCAAGATACAAAGACGAAAACAAAATTGTTCCTGTCCTCAAGAGGGTTACATACTATTGGGGCCAGGGAGAGTGCTGGTAAGAAGCAATGTAGTGCAGTGGAGAGGACCTGACTTTGAATTCAGGCTTTTGTCTAGCTGTGTGACCTTGAACGAGTCGCTCAGTTTCTTATTTGTAAAATGAAGGATTTGGCCTAGATAGTCTCTAAGGCCCCTTCTAACCCTCAGTCTATGAGCCTATGATTCATGACATTTCGTGTGCGTGTGTGTGTATGTGTTCTCTTTCATCCCCACCCACCCCGATAGAATGTTAGTGCTTTGAGAGCAGGGACTACTTCATTTTTGGTTTTTCCATCGCCGGGTCCCTAGCAAACAGTAGGCACTCAATAAAGGCTTGCTGCTTGTTTGCTTGATTCTCAGCAGCAGGTGGCTAGGTAGGGTTTCAGCTTGAACACATGGATGAGAGAGTTTGAGAATAACTGCTCTAGCATCTTTGGGCTGTCCTATAGCAGTTATTGGCGGCCCCAGCAAAAGGCTCATGTCCCTCATTCATTCATCAGATATTTCAGAAAAATCTGCCAAATGTAAGACACTCAGTAAGATACCTTTACTAGACACTTACATGGTCCTCTCCATCGAGAGAAGGGGTCGCTTCTCAGCCCTTTCCTCTTTCCATTTCTGCTCCATCCTGTGGCCTCCCCACGGGAGGGAGCTTGGATAATATCTATATGATGAGTTATCATTTATAGTATTTTTTCACAAGCTTCTCTGAAAGGGAGGCAATACAAATCTTATCCTCATTTTACAAGTGAGGGGACTGAGTCTCAGAGAGATAAGGCAGTTTTTTCCCAGACTTACACCTACAAGGAGTCCAGGGCAAGAGCCCAAGTTCTGGGCTCTGGGCTCTTTCCACCAGCCCATGCTATTTTCTGATCTGTCTAGAGCTGGTGTCAGTAAACTATGGCCCGTAGGCCAAGTGTGACCCGCTGCCTCTCCTTTTTGTAGGGACTGTGAACTAAGAGTGGTTTTTACATTTTTAAAATGGTTTTACTTTTAATGTACACGTAATAATTTAACACATGTATGCTAAATGTTCGTGTAATAATTTACATTTAATGTAAAAACCATTCCTATCTCTCAGAGCACACAGAAACAGGCAGTGGGTCAGATTTGGCACACAGGAGATAGCTTGCTAATGCTTGCCCTAGAGGATAGGTGTGCGGCATGGTAGCTGGGGTCCTCACTGTGTTGTAATGAGACAGAGGTGTTCTGGAGGGAGTCAGGCAGGAGCTAGTTTTAAATGCCGCCTCTATCATTTATTGACTGTATGGCCCCAGGCAGATCACTGAACCTCTCCGCACTCTGGGCAGCTCTCTATGGACCAGTTGCTGATCTGTATTGATAGAGGGAGTTTGCTCACAAATTGATAAAATCACAGGTCACTGAAAGGGGGCCTATTGGATGAACCACAGCAATTACATAGGAGACGGTCACAGAGACAAATCTGTGTAAAGAATAGACTCTAAGAAGTGGATGATGAAAAAGGAGAGAGGGCCGGTCATGAAGCAACAGCCAAGGATAGCCAGGGACAGCCTGCGTGTCCCCCGGGTGCCCCCACAGCATGGCAGGAGAAAGGAAGGAAGGCCTCTAGCATGTCGGGTAGACCCCTGGGGGTGAACTCATGGGGGGCCCTGGACAGGAGTTGATGGGGATGGGCTGCTAGTGGCATCATTGAAGGGAATGCCATATCAGAGCTCCGTTGGCATCTTGGACTTCATGGGGCAGTAGCCCATGAGATGGTGGATGTAAAGGGTTTCTCAAGCTTTGAATCACTATAGAAAAGTCCCTAGTTATGAGGGCGAGGGCTCCTCTGCACAGCCCCAGTGACCTTGCTCCTTTTTTTCCACAGTCCCTCTGGTACGGAACATGGAGTCTCGTATCATGATTCCCTTGAAGATCTCACCCCTCCAGTGACCCTGCGGACTCCTTCCTCATCCCTGGAGGGAGCTGTTAGCCAGAAGAGCCCCTCACCTCTCCTCCCCTTCCCCCCGCACCCCTCCACCGCCTCATTCCCCACTTCCCCCCCCCCACTTTCTCCGATTTCATGCCTCATTCTTTCTTTGGGGTCTGACGGGTTCCTCGGGGAGTCAGGTCAGGCTGAGGCTAGCTGAATTAGACTTAGACCTGGCTGCTTCCAATGCCCATCCACCTTCGCCCCTTTCTGTTCTTCCTTTGGCTTTGGGCAGCTAGGTGAATCAGTGGATTGAGTTTGGGGCTTGGAATCAGCAAGAAAGATCTATGTTTAAATCACGCATAAGACACTTACCAGCTATGTAACGAGCTGGGCATTTCCCTTCACCTCTCGGGGCCTCAGTTTCCTCATCTGTAAAATGGGGATCACAACACCACCTACCTCACGGGGTCGTTGTGAGGAGCAAACAAGATAATGTGTGTAAATGGCTTTGCAAACCTTCAAGCCAGCTATCATTCTTACAGTTCTCCTTGTTCTCCCAGTCTCTCATTCCCCTGAGGAAGTAGGAGCAGATCTTGGCTTCTGATTTCCTTTTCCCAAGGCCCCTCAGATCCAGCTGCCTAGACCTGCCCTTCTTCCATGTGAACGTCACAGATGCAGTCATATTTATGGAAGAGGTGGTGTAGTCCTGTGGTTAGAGCTTAGAGGCAAGAGCTGGGACCGTGCCTACCTCAGCTACTGGCTTCCCTGATGCACAGGAGCCAAGTCCCTCTCTTCACTGCTTAATCCAGGCTCTTAATATATGATCCTGAACCAGTGAGAGGGCCAGCAAGGTCAAGGCCGTTGGGATGGGGGCTTTTGAGCCTGATTTCTAGGAAGATGGGGGGCTGTAGAAAGAGCTCGCTGCCTGAGGCCAGGGGCCCGATGGAAGGACAGTCTTGTATTTGTGCTGTTCCTGTTTTTGTGGGGTCTCTGGGTTAGGCTTCTAAATAATACTGCGTCTACATACAAGGCAGAAGGGGAGCTCTCCCAGTAGGTTTCTTTTTTCTAGAGCTCTGGCCTTTTCTCTCCCCTCCCCCCACCCCATATCTGGAATGGGGGCTTTGGCTATCATGCTCCTCTCTCCTCCCTCCTATATTTCTCTTCAGTCCTTCCTGCCTTGACTATCTGCGGCCATGTGGGGATCATTGCAATACCTGGGAGGAGCAGGGTTGGGCCTCTTCAGGGCCCTGTACCCCACAAATTATGACAGGAGGCTTACACCCATCTCCCTCCAGGGTGGCCTGTACTGAAAGTCACTGACTGACCTAATTAAATATTTAATAGAAATGGTGTTTGCTCTTCTTCACTTGCCAGGAATCTCTCCCAGCTGCCCCGAGATTCCAGAGATAGGAGAGATTGGAACTGGTGAAGGGGAGGAACTGAGAAGCACTCGGACAATGAGGTTGGAACAAAAGGAGACAGATGGGGTTGGAGTTTTTCAGTGAGACACCTGGGCAGAGGACACATGGGAAAATCATGTGGATTAGCCCATTTTTCCTGAAGGATCTAGAGTCTGGGGAAGGGAAGGCTTGGGAGCTCTTTCTGAAGGTCTATCACCTGGATGGATCGCCTTGCTCTTCTTGGGCCTAGAGGGCGGAACCAGGAGCAGGAGGGGAGGAGGGAGCAGATCAGGCATTATGTCAGGCAAAACTTCCTCCTTATAATTAAAGTCTCAGGGCCAGGGTGTCTTCCAGTAAGGGCTGGATGACCATGTGTTGGGCATCACAGTTTGAGAGTTGGAAGGACTTCAGCAGCCATCTGGCCCAGCCAATACTAGAGAAGGAATCCACATTATAACATGCCTGACGGGTTGTCTGACATCTGCTGGAAGACCTCCCAAGGAAGAGAAACTGACCACCTCGCCAGGTAGTTCATTCCACGTTAGGCTAACTCTCATTATCAGGAAATCTGCCCTGGTATCAAACGTAAACGGGCTTCACTGCAAAGACCCCCTCTTTCCTTCAGCTTTTCCTAGTTGTAGAGGGGTATTTTAACTTAAATATAGAAGCAATTAGGTGGTAAAGGGGATAGAGGCAGTACCTGGAGTCAGGAAGACCTGAATTCTAAGCCTGCCTCTGACATTAGCTGTGTGACTTTGGGCAAGTCATTTCACCACCATCCCCAGTGCCTCAGTTTCCTTGTCTGTAAAATGAGGATAATAATAGCACCTACTTCACAATGTTGTTGTAAGGATCAAATGAAATGACATGTAAAGTGTTTTACAGACCTGAAAATATTGTATGAAGATTAGCTCTTATTCACCTATGGAAGGATGTGCACATAAGTCACCTTGACTTGATGACATCATAGCTGCATTTGAGAGGGTTTTTGTTTTGTTTTTACTGAGAGAAGTATGACCAGATTTTGTGGAAATCAATTCTATTACTTTATAGTTAAATTCTGCTTAAAAGGACCAACTCGTTTGACTTTTAAATTAGCAATAGTGAACAGAAAATTTGGTCCAGTGAGTACAATTGCTGTTGAAAATAAGCCCCAGAGTGAGAGGGAAGGAGACGTAGGAAGGTGGTGAGGAGACAGAGGTCAGGGATCCAGGCTGGCAGCCTGAAGAGAAGCAGAGAAACCTGTAGCACTCACACACCGACCTATTCGCTCCTGCAAAAACCTGAAATTTACCCCAGTTTCAATAAAGATCAAGGCAAACATTGTATTTCAAGAAATCACAAATGAAGACTGCTCAGCTATTAGAACCAGAGGACAAGATGAAGATGGAAAAAATCCACTGATCACCTCTTGAAAGGAACCCCCAAAGAAGAGTGCTAGTGATATCATAGCCCAAATTGAGAGCTCCTGCATCAAAGAGAACACTTCAGGCATTCAGAAAGAGGCAATTTAAGCACCAAAGAACCAAAATCGGGATCATACAAGAATTGGCAGCGTCTGTTAAAAACCAGAGAAGAGTATGGAATTCACTCTCCAGAAGGCAAGAGATCCTGGTTTACAACCAAGAATAACTTATCCTGCAACATGTATTGGAGCAATTAATGGGACCTTATTGAATACTGACATATTAATGGAAGAGAACAAAGAAGTCCCCCTTCAGAATTGCATTGTCTTCAAGGGGCATTGAAGGAGTTGAATAAGAAAAACAGAGGAACTTAGGGTTGGTTGGTTCTGTTTTGACTGTTCTTAGAGCGGAAAAGTAAGGGAGAATGAAAAGAACATACTTGCATAGAATAAAGGGAAAAGGGGATAGAACTCACTTCCCAGAATCAGGATGGATGAGAAAACAAGTATTTTCAAACATAGAGAAAAGGGTAGGGAAAACATCAAGTGAAGCTCTTACGAGAATCAGACAAAAGAGGGTTGAACACACCCCTGGTTTGGTATAGAAGCAAATCAAACAATAAAGAAAGAAGGAAAGAGTGTGAGGGAGGGGGTTAAGAAGGGAGATAATACCCGTGAGCTTATAGTCACCAGTGAAACAAACTTCTGACTCCTGAGAGGGAGAAGAAAAGAAACTTAAGGAGTGTTCATCAATCAGGAGAATGTCTGAACAAATAGTGGCCCATGAACGTAATCAAATATGATTGTGCTCTTAAGAAATGATGAAAGAGATGTTAGAGAAGTAGGAGCCGATGCATAGTGAACTGAGCAAAAACAAAGCATATATTGATAACAACATTGAAATGAAAAATGATTCAGAAAGACCTAAGAACTCTGAGGGAAACGATGGCCAACCGTGTCTCCAGTGGACCCATGAGGAAGCACGGTAACCTCCCCCTGACAAAGGGGTGATGGACACTCAAACTGCAGCAAGAGATATAGGTAGAGATATAGAAGATATATTTGTATGTGGTCGTGGTATGAATTTGTTTTGCTTGACTGCTTGTTACAAGGTTTTTCCTTTTGTGAGGCAACTGCATGGTGCTGTATATAGAGCTGATCTGGAGTTGGGAGACCTGAGTTCAAATCCAGCTTCAGCTGCTTACTAATTGTGTGACCCACAGCAAATCACTTAATCCATATCTGCCTCAGTTGCCATCTCTGTAAAATAGGGATTATAATAACACCTACCTCTGAGGATTGTTACATTTCAGGAAAGTATGTTTCAATAAAGTGCTAATTGGGCAGATGAGATAGAGGAAATGAGCAGTAACCAACAAAGAAGACTAGTGAAACATTGTTTCGAAAATATATGAAAGAGAACAGAAGGGAAGTGGAGAAGGCCGGTTCTGACAGTGATGGAAAATTGTATGCAAAGTAAAATTGGAGAGCGCTGGATTTCACATCAAAGCACCTGGGTTTAAACCCCAGTTCTATCACTTCCTAACTCTGTAGCTCTTATCAAGTCACTTGACCTCTGAGGCCCTTGGGTTCTTTATCTGTCAAATGAGTGGGTTTGACTGACTTCTCAGAATCCCAGACAAGTCTCTTAAGACTCAGAAATGAGAAGCCTCTGAGACTATAAATTGCAGACAAGGCGTTGATCTGCACTGCTCGAGGAAGTCCCTCGATGGAAATTCCCTTCACTATTGAGATAATAGGGCTGTCCAATAAAAATTGATTGAAGAATGCCTTGCCGGAAATCAGGGATTCTCAGGGATGGAAGTGAGACAAAATACCTTCCACCTCTCAGAATCCCTATTTTCTTTCAAGGCACAGCTCCATCTACACGTACCTCCTCTACCTGCGGTCGATCAATAAACGTTATCGTATTATCATTGCCTGGGCCTCTTATTTCTACCTATGCTGTCCACATCTGCTCTGCTTAACTGAGGTTAAGTGACTTGCTCCTACCCACACGGCAAAGCAGGTGGCAGAGGTGGGGTTTGAACCGGGGTTAAAGAGACTCGCGTTCTCTCCGCTAGGCCATTCTGCTGCTCGCCAGGGAGGGGAGCTTAACCAGGTGCCAGACTAGAAAAGAGGCGCTCAGAGTGCTGAGCTGAGCTCCTGGGGCCACTAGGGGGTAGCAGAGAGTCCCGGCGCGCGCCGCTTCTCCCGCCTCTTCTCTGTGGTGCTCGGGTGGGCGTGGCTTGGGCTCTCTGGCCACCGGAAGCGGAAGGCTCGCTGGCTCTCGTTTGGTCTGCGGTGGCGGCGGCGCTGCTTCCTCCCCTGTGTTCCCCTCCGGGCCCGTGGGCGTCGAGGTCCTGCTTCCATCTGCCCCACGGACGACCACGGGAGCCCCAGCGGTCTCTCCGAGCGCCAGCCCGAGCCCCGGGCCGGCCCTCAGGTACGTGCGTCCCCCTGTGGGCTGAGCCCCTCCCCCGCGGGCGCCTCGCGCTGGGCCCCCCGCCGTGCCCCTCCCCCACCCCCATGGTCCTCCGACCGAGCCTCTCCCAGGACCCCCCCCTTCCGACTGAGCTCCTCCCATTACCGCTTTCTCCCTCCAACTTGGCGCCTCCCCCAAATGTGCCTCTCTTCAGCACCCCCAACTTTTCAACTGAACCCTTCTCTCTAGCTCAGTCCCTCTCTCGGGGTCGCCATCCTCTGACTCCCCCTCCCCAGGACCGCCACGCTCCCGAATGAGCCCCTCCCCCTGCCTCCTTTCTCCTGCTCAGGCCCTCCCCAACTCTGGGTCCTTCCCTCTGAGCCTCTCTCCAGGACCCCCAACTTTCCTGCTGAGCTCTTCCCCGACTCCTGGGCCCCCCTGCTCTGACCCCCCACCTCCTCCCTCTCCCTGTGCCTTTCCCCCATCTCCCTCCCTTCCGCGAGGCCCCTCATCCATACTGCCCCCACTCCACCAACTCACCCCCCCCCCTCCAGATCCAGTACTTGTGTCCCCTGCTGAGCCTGGAACAGGGCATCTTATGGCAAGCTGTTCACAGATGACCCAAGC